TCCATGGTAATCTAGCTTCAATTGACTCATGAATTAAACTATTTAATTACAGATGTGAATGAAATGAATCTTTAATTGATGCGTAGACTGAAGGTATGAAATACTCACAAAATTTTCTCGTTATAAAAAGTATTTCACATTGAGTCACTACTAGTCGATGCTCAGTTAAACTAGTATCTAGATTATTAAGAAAATAGAAGAGATAAATGACCAGTTGGAAAGTATCAACAAGCTTTTACTGTGAATGAACAATTCAGTTAAACGACACAATGATTATTTTGAATAGTAGTCCACTGTAGTACCCATAATTGCACTAAACGGTATAAATAGGATCTTTATAACCATTGGTTAATCTGTATAATATACATGACAATTCAGTTAAAAACACTTTTAATAAAGTTATGCACAAACCAAATTACAATCATCTATATACAGTTGAAACAATTTGTAAGTTACAAAATACTTGTAACGTTTCTGAATACTGTAGTAAGTGATTGAATGATCTTTATTTATTTAGCTTAACACAGATATTTGGTACAAGGAGGCACCAAATACATAGGTGCCACATAAATCTCATTTGATATGTGTGAGGCTGTGATACTGCCCGGCTGCCCAAACCGAAGCAGGTGGTTTTCTTAGGGGGACGCACCCGGAGCCTTCGACCTAAAGGTTTGATCCATAAGGCGGTGGAGCATCGTAAGGAGATGCAGTCCAATGATAGCCGCTGACCAACGATTGGTTTATACGTTATTTGTTCCTTCATGATCTCGGAGCCCATGTGAACCATTGATTTGCAATCAGGGTTTTCCAACTCCCCTAAGTGGACTCTTCATGTCCACCAACCCGGTTAAAGCGCCAGACATTCAGTTTTCTTCCTCTCAATTTCATAAACAACACCCCTATTGCGAGAAGGCAGTGAGTAGAACTTCCCTGGCAGAGGCTATATACGCGTGGCCATGTGGAAGCATTTCGAGAGGGAGAGCGGACTCTCCTCACTCTCGGCTGTACCAGGACATTTGAATGATAGAAGATACAACTCACACATATATTTCAGGAAGAGCGAACTATTCAAATCATATCTGACAACTAGTTGTCTTTAAGCATCAGATACCAAATAAACTGATTTCTTAGCGCTATTTATGGTAAGCGAATTATTGCGATAAGTAGTGAATTCAAAACTGAAATTGCATCTTTTTTTACCATGAAAAAGCAGTTTTTTTCTAAGCAAAGATGAGTGGTGGCTAATAGTGGAATCCACGACACACGTTTCGTTCTGCTTGGAATTCATCATCTGGATATATCTACACTCCGTAGTTAATGTTTACTCCAGGACGCGACGTAGTAATGTTCACTTCAAATGGCAGCGTGTTATCTACTTACCTACTGAGTTTAGATAGCCACTGACTTGTGCAATAGGGTAACGTGTTTTTTTATATAGTTTTAATAAATTTAATATATTTTCATCTTGGCAATATACTAATAACATTCTTATCTTTTACTTAAATAGTATGCTATGTAGGATGGTAGAGAGTTTTCTCACTATCAACTCACTGAATAGTGATAACCAACTTAGTAAGTAGATACATTTCAAACTTTCACATAAAAGATGGAATATCTTATAGTTCAACTGTTCATGGGATCATATCCATTCTAAGCGCATATGGTATGTAGAAGTGATTCAGAGAAAAGTATAAGATAAAAATGGAACTGAATATCAGAAGAAACAACGTTTATTAACATTTCTTTAGTCGTTGAGATCATGAGTGAATTGAAGCTAGATTACCATGGAACACCTGGAAGCACTGGACGGTCGTTTCGTCTAATTGTGAGATTCCTCAACAGTGCGCATCCACGATCCTGCCGCGACAGTTTCGCGAATGCTTAACCACTAGACCACTGAGCCGGCCGGCATTCAACGGTGTTATGTCTCACTCCAACCGATCCACGAAACTGAACGACACATTCACGATTGTCTTCAAAGAGTTACTATCTCACAACAGACCCGGTTGAACTCCATTGGTCACTGCTTCCTACTAGAACTCCATGAAATATCACTTGAATCCAGTCACTAGTGCGGATATGCTGATTATTATCAGAAGGGGTTTTGTGGATATTATAGCAATTTTTAATGATTGACATCTTTAGTCATTTGAAACTTATTGAAATGATAAATAATCTAAAAATCCAATGTATGGTTTGATAGTATTACATCTGATTATGGCTCTTGGTGAATCGATAAGTGTTAACCACAATGTAGCCCAAGTTGAAGGTTCCCAAAAGACAGTCCTAAACAAGCTAACATTATTCATAGATAGATTAACTTCAGCTAGTGGTAAAATTCGAGATGTGTTTTATTCCGCTTGGAACTTTTCAAATGAATAGTCCTACTAGATCACTGAGTCATTAGTTACTTACTTTCGCCTGTTACTCCCAATGGAGAATAGGAAGCTGGACAGTATTCTACAACCCACTCTGTCCTGGACCTTCCTCTCTAGTTCTATTCAATTGTTGTTCATTCTTCTCATGTCCTTCTCCATTTCTCGGCATTATGTCTTCCTTGGTCGTCCTATTCTTCTTTGGCCTTGAGGATTGCAAATGAGGACTTGCCCTGTGACACAGTTCAGTGTTTTCCTTAATGTGTATCCTATCCAATTCTAGAACTTGTTCCTGATTTCTTCCTCCACTGGAATGTGGTTTTTTTCTCACCCACAGTAGGTTGTTGCTGATAGTATTTGACCAATGATTCGTAAGTATTTTCTGTAGACAGCTGTTAATAAACATTTGTATCTTCTGGATAATAGATTTCGTAGTTCTCAAGGTTTTCGCCCCACACCGTAAAACTGTCTTGACATTTGTATTGAAAATCCTGACCTCGGTGTTGGTTGACAGTTGTTTTGAGTTCCATCTTTTTGTCCAGTTGTAAATATACTGTTCTTGCTTTATCGATCCGCGCCTTCATATCTACATCAGATCCACCGTGTTCATCAATGATGCTGCTCAGTTTTATGTAAAGGTGTTTACATCGTCCAAACCTTCCCTATCAACAGTACAAACTTCGAGTAAAAAGTTTCTATTATATTAGCCTATCGGGTACCCTCTGAGTGAGTGCTTCATTATGAACCGTAAACACAAAGATCAGATTTCATTTCAATAAAATTTTACTCATTAACTTAAGTAAATACACATGATACTGTATAGTTTTAACATTAATCTTTTTTTTTAATTTTTATTTTTTGGAACTATTTTTACAGTACACCATATACTGTGACAATAACACACAGTTCAGAGCCAAGTGAAATAACCCTCATTGTTCGAATGTTTGAGTCGCTCACAAAACAAATAAATGAGTAATATATATATATGTATATTATTACTTATAGTATTATTTTATATGTTATAATTAACCTACTATAATCTCATTAATTACTAACTAATAGAACTTGTTAACTGAGTATATGTATTGTAAACTCATAACAAATGGGATAGGATTCGAACCTAAGACCTAACAGTTGGAAGTCAAGTGTCTTAATTATAAATTGCACTATTGAATCATTTATAACTTGAAAAATGATGTTTTACTATAGTGAACAAGTGTATATACATATATGTGATATTTATTACTCTGATGGCTAAGTATCGTACTATTGTTAACATTATGTTCTTCTATTTGGATGAATGTAATTACAGCGTTTCAGATAATAACATGATTCAATACAGGTCTTTATAAATTTCAATAATGTTTTCATTTCTATGAACTTTGTATTATACTTCAAGAAAGCATTCTCAATAAGTTCCTAATGTAGAATGTATAGTTCATAGGAACAAAGACATCAATCAACTTACCTGTTAAGACTTCTATACAAAATCATCAGTACAAATATCAAAAAAGTTAGTTCTTTATAATTAGTGGAATACTTGTCTTATCAACTATGCATACTTACTACTTACTTACGCCTGTTACTCCTCGTGAAGGAGCATAGGCCGCTCACCAGCATTCTCCATCCAACCCTGTCCTGGGCAATCCTTTCTAGCTCCGTCCAGTTGTAATTCATCGTTTTCATATCTGCTTCTATTATCCGACGCAATGTGTTCTTTGGCCTTCCTCTTTTTCGCTTCCCTTCAGGATTCCAAGTTAACACTTACCTTGTGATGCAGTTTGAGCTCCACTCAACTGATTATTCGACGATGACTTATCAACTATAGAATATAATGAATTGTTATTATTGTCTGAAGATACATTCTGAGGTGAGGCTATAATTTATTGGACGAACCGATTAGATCTACGATAACAGGTTTTGGATTTTAGCTCGAAAACCACTCATTCATTTGGATGAATCTAGTTTTTGGTATTATAGTTGATGTCAGTTCGTGATGGAAACTCTAAATCTAATTTCTAACCTTAACGATCAAATATAAATCATCATTCGAATTCCTCACACAGGTTTATAAACTTCAGTTAGTCCTCATTATTAGGCCGACACTCTCAAGGTCAGTCTGGCGTCAGTCAATGATCGTCTATATATTATATTCTCACCGAATTTTAAATACAATACAAATGTATACCAGTCTAAATTAACACAATTTACATCAGTTCAATAAAGAAGGAGTAAAATGACAAGATGAGAACAATTTGAAAGGAATGAACCAATCAAAAGGAATAGGAATAACATAATTAAAAATATAAAATGATATGAAAACTTAAAATTTCTACGGGATAGAGAAGTTGATCCCACTAACAATCCTCATCCTTTATCGGGAATTGGGACTGGCAGTAGCTAATAGGAGAACTACAGATGGAGTTAATAATAATACGTTATAATCTTTTTTTTGTCTGTACATTAAGCCTATAAATCAATTTTATTGATTAAATGTTTACTTTTTATAGTACAATGAAAATTTCCGATTTGAAGAATGAGTTCACAGATCGAATGCAACTATTGGAACAACGAATTATGGGTATGTTTATATCTAGAAAATGTTTGAAATTAGAATTATGAGTTTCATTCAGATTTAAGTAAATAGTTAATCATACCATTAGTCAATACACTCTGTGATGATGATGATGATGATGATGATGATGATGATGATGATGATGATGATGATGATGATGATGATGATGATGATGATGATGATGATGATGATGATGATGATGATGATGATGATGATGATGATGATGATGATGATGAGAGGGAGGAGGAGGAGGTGGAGGAAGAGGATACGAAAGGAACTATTTTGTTCCTCATTTATTTATTTCTCATTTTAATAAAATTATCGGGAATATAAAACGACTAATAATCATTAAGAAAATAATGATAGTAATAATAAATCCTTACCATTTGGTTGCTACTGGCAACCGATTAATTTATACTTAACTCATTTCGATAAACAAACGTGACTTGAAAAACTATTTTTACTTTTACAAATGAAAATATTTAGGAGAAAAATGTATTATTATTATTATTAAGTGAATTCATCTCACCAACTAACTGTCCTTTAGTCTAAATAAACGAATATCATCATGTCGAATAGTAATTTAGGAGACAGGATGAAAGATAATCATAATCGAGTTCCACCCAAAAATTGCATTAATGGGAAATGAGTGTGTATACACCAATAATAATAACACATCATATAATGATGTAAATGTAGCAGAAAAATAGAGGAGGGGGGGAGGCAAATGATAAAAATAACAGTACAAGTTAAGTTGATATAAATTTATCTTATCTATGACATATTTTTAGCATAGATTTTTTTTTTTGGATTGTCTATGAATGGTGGAGAAGATGAAGTTTTGAAAAGAAAGTACGAAAAGATTTTGGGAATCTTACTGGTATGTAGTTCTTTGCATCTTTAACTTCAATTAGTTTGAGATAATACGCAATCATCTCCGATCACATGTATCGGAGAACTATCACACATCCCCTATATGATTGGACTCCACAGGTAATGACTTCTCACCAGAATTCCAAGAGTTCGTCACTCAAACATTAACTCCTGTAATACTTACGCATGTTATTCCACGTGAAGGAGCATAGGCCGCTTATCAGAATTCTCCACCCAACCCTGTCCTGAACAATCCTTTACAGCTCTTCCTAGTTGTTATTCATCCTTTTCATATCTGCTTCTATTTACCGACGTAATAAGTTCTTTGAACTTCCTCTTTTCCATTTCCCTTCAGGATTCCAAGTTAGGGCTCGCCTCGTGATGCAGTTTGATGATTTGCGTAATGTTTGTCCTATACACAACATCCAACGACTTTCCCAAATTTCCTCTTCAGCTGGAAGATGGTTTGTTCTCTGCCACAAAAGGCTGTTGCTGATGGTATCCGATCAATGGATGTTGAGTATCTTGAGTAGACAGCTATTTATAAATACTTGTACATGTTTGATGACGGTTATGGCAGTTTCCTACATTTCCACTCCATATAGTAGAACTGTATTGACGTTCGTATTGAAGATTCTCACTTTGACATTGGTTGACAATTATTTTGAGTTCCACACGTTCTTCAACTGTAGGAATTCTATCCTTACTTTACCAATCTTTTTCTTTACATCTGCATCGGATCCTCGTTGTTCATCAATGATGCTGAACATATTATGTACCTGAAAGTTTCCACCTATTCCAGAGTTTCTCCATCAAGTGTGATTGGTTTGGTTGGTGTTCTCTGTGTTGTACTTGAGGATATTGGCTTTTACTGTGTGTATGTTGAGGCCCTCTGATGCAGAGGATGCTGCTACACTAGTTGTCTTAATCTGGATTTACTCGTGTGTGTGGGATAGGAGGGCTAGGTCATCTGAAAAGTCCAACTCGTCTAATTGGTTCTGAGCTGTCCATTGTATGCTGTGTTTTCCCTCAGATGTCGACGTCTTCATTTGCAAACGTGATACTTTAAGATTATTAGGTTGAAATCCAATGATGTACACTTTTCAGTTCAACCAATTTACGATGAACCATCTGTAATAACTGTGAAACTTTCGATATAGTTGAAACTAAACCCACTAACTAATCCCATCAGGCGGTGGACAAAAACCTATCTGTAAATAATATTTCATTCACAATTCAATGAGTTAGTTGAACTTATAGAATAATTCTAATATGCTTCACTGATAAATTGAGGTTATGTTGATCTAGATCTGGTACTTATCAAATTATTCTTTTATAGACCAATTTACAATAGTAGAAAACATTTTTTGTCTCCTATAGATTTTGTCTCTTATAAGTTCAGTGGTCTAGTGGTAAAGCGTTCGCGCGCAAGACTGATAGGTTCAGTGTACGAATTTCGCGAGATGGGATCGTGTATGCGTAGTGCTGAGGAGTCCCACAATAAGACGAAACGACCGTCCAATACTTCCAGGTTTTCCATGTTGATCTAGCTTTAATTGACTCATGATCTCAACCATTTAAATTGTTATAGATAACTGTAGTGTTTTGTTATTGTTGGAGTCATATGTTTAATGTATTCTTCTCAACAACAATTCCATTAGGATAAAACTCAACCATACTTATTAGGGAAGCAAATTATCCCTTTTTAGTTTTAATAAGACATAGTTCATTATATCACTCAATTGTATTCCTAATGAGAAATGGATGGACCGTTAAATGAACACACTTATATGTGAAGAATTATGACTAAACTCAATTGGTTTTCACCTTAAGTTGATTGTAACAGCCTATACAGTTTATTTCCATTTACTTAGATAGTCACTAGAAAAGTGTGAAAATTATGGAGATATTAAACATTAAACTAAATTAATATGAAGGTGTTTGTGGAGATTATTAGATATCATTGAGATCTCAGATAATTAATTAAATCTGTGAAGCATTAGAGTTCTGTTTTTCATCTTAATGTTGAATCCTTCAGTATAACCCAATCCCCAATGAAGACATGGGTCTTTACTGCTAAGGAGGAACCATAAAAGTTCAATACTTCTTGAGTTTAACCGATCGTTTAAATTAGATTCTTTGATGATCTCAATATAATGAAACTATCTATATCATTATCATAACATCCGTTTATACTTTTCTTTTAGTTGAATCCGATCGTCATAATGATATAGATAGAATTAAAAAAGAACTGAAAGAGTTAAAAATTCAAATTCATGAAAGAAAAACTGGTTTAACGAATATCGGGTAAATTATATTGTAACTTTTTTTAATAGTTGAGACCACGAGTCACGCGCAAGAGCGATAGGTCATGAGTTTGAATCCTGCGAGGGGGGGATCTTGTATGGCACTGATGAAGAGTCCCAAAGTAGGACGAAACGGCCATTCAGTGTTTTCAGGTTTTCTATAGTGGTCTGGCTTCAACTGACTCGTGAATTCAACTATTAAAATTACTATAATATCCACAAAATTCTTTCTGAAATTATATGAATGATTATTAAACTTCTCATATGTATCACCACTTGTTATAACTTGCGACTTATGTGCCCTGTTAATTTATACGTAATGATACTGTCATTTAGAAAGCAGTGAATTATCGATTGAACCAATGACGCATAAAAACCCGTACGAGCAGTCTAGAAGGCTTATTGGTCCTCATATCTTCTTGTCCGGTCCTGCCTGTTGACATCAGAACACCAATCTCAGTCTCTGCGATATGAATCATTATATTTCGAACATACTGAGTTTATATTATCAATCAAACAGACCACAATGTACCAATAAAATATGAAACAACATTAGTACAAGAATTAGCCAGATGTGGCTGTGAATGAGGGAGGTAGTAATTAATATACTGGATATAAATCAAGAATGGTAAAATACATAATAATAGTTTATGGGTCAAAATAAAACTTATAATAAGAGGAACACGAATATGCATAGTTTAGTTACTGAATAATTAGACAATAGAAATATGCGTTCAGTATTGATCCACCAATAGATCCCAAAAGTTACCATTCCTTGTTGTTGTCAGGACAGAAACATTTCCATTAGTTAATTTATTATGATTAATAATAAACTATTCATTTATTACTTTTATATTAATCAAATAAATATACTTTATAGTTCAGAACGTACCTATTTAGGTAATATACGATTAAGTAATGATGGTGTGAAAATTCTGGATTTACAGAATTTACCCATTTTTGAAAAGGTTAGTTATGATCATTTCATTATTTAATCTGAATATATCGGTCACATATTCTATTTTATATAGATTGGCTAGATTTAAAGATGGTACTCTGGTCAAGAAGTATTAAAGGTTTATTTCGTCCTTGCATTGGGCTCCTCAGTAATATACTCTTCTTGAGGCCTAAAAGTTCTAGTTTTAACTATGATCGTTTTTCAATGTAAACTATGAAATGTTTTTATGATCGCTAAACATAATGGACTATTTCCTGAAAACTGGTAAATCCTGATCAACTTTTCAATTTAGATTATAATAGCTTACTACTGAGTGTAAATTGATTTTTCAAGGGTCGAACCCAGAAAATCCAGGACTGCCAACTAATACTTAACTATTAAAATTAATAAAATTGGAGTTCATTAGCAAAATTCTACTATTAATCATCTTGCGATATAATGGATGATCATCCATAAACATGTTTTTCAATATTGCCACACTCTTGAAGTGTGCTGAAAGGTTCCTTACTAGAACGAAACAGCTTTATGGTATTCCTTGGTTTTCAGTGATACCCTAAATAGAATCACTCTGTGACAAATCATACTAACTTATTACTTATGTTTATAATACAGTTTAAGGGATAGATAAACTTTGAAAGTCCTTTAGTAGCCCTTTATCTGACTCTAGTCAAATCGTATGATGATTAACATTGAAATGAAATACGCCGACAACACTCGTATAAAATTATCAACTTAATTCGCGTTAAAGAATAATGGAATAAAATAAGCCAAATACGAAAATGAACTTTTAATATTTAGGTTTCATACTCTTGCTGATTCGGACAGACAGTCAGAGTACCGAAGTAAACAAAACGAAGTTGATAATGTCGTTGGGAAAATGGAAAGCGAAGCGATGCAGAGAAGGTGAATGAGCCTACTCCATTTGACTAAACGTAACTCAACATTTATAGTCTAATCAAAAATAAGTTACGAACACGTAATGAATAGGGTAAGCAAATAACATTCATACGATCATACGAAAACAGTCAGGGTTAATAAGCGAATCATCAACAAGGTCAAAATGTGGCTTGATAACAATGTATAATTTGGTTTATCCAGAGGTTAGAAGAACCTATATCGGCTTGACACATAGTATCAGCTACTACAGTCCAGACAATTAATACAGATTTAAAGTGTATGAATTTAGCTAGAATAATAAATGAAGCTGAATAGCATGAATCTATTCATTCTATTCTATCAAATAAAGCTCACTGAGATATATTATTACTTGAATCAATGGCCTATTTCAATATGATCAATAGAACTTGGTTAACATTGAGTTTTTAACAATACAACACAGTCCATAGGCCAGCTACTGATTAGTACAATTAAATAGGTCATGGGGGAAATTGTTAATGCATTAGATAGTTTACTGTTAAACAACAGAACAATTTTAGAATCCTTCTAAGATGATGTACCGGGCTGGCTAGTGTTAACTAACACGGAAATATTATTCAAAGCTTTCAGAAGATTATTTCCAACTTGTTAACTAGTTTGATTTTGTCCAAACCATCCAGCTCAAAGAACAAAACTTCATCAAAATTATCCACCTGAGCTACAAATCTTCTCCACCATCCCGAACTAGATGGAGAAAGTAATCATCAAATTAAAACTTCATTGTGATAGTAAAAGATTAAATACCGCTTATTTCTAAAGACATAGATAGTATTTAATTATTTTCCTAGTGACCATTATCTAACCGACCATCAGTTTAACAAACGATGTTCATTTCATTAACATTTCCCAACTTGTATCAATTATGAAGTCTGTTTAGCAAAGAAAAATTGAATATATTGTGTAATTGTTCACTCTGTTTGACTTTATGATGACGTAACATATCTTTTGAAACAGAGGATATTCAAAGGTTACTATTATTCGATGATGGGTATCTAGATACCAGGAAGTTACTAACTATTGATCTGAGCCAATATCAATAGGTATCGATTGCTTGATCGAAGCTCACATGATAACCATGATCAGTAATTGAAGATGTTGATATGTTGCAATGAATTCAATCTCGTCAGATCCAAAGTTACTTCTTTTGTTCTGTGTATTCATTCATTCTTGTCAAATCATATTCTTCATTCATCATGTTCCTTTTTATTACTATTATTATCTGTAATACTCCTACCACGTCATTTACTTTAGTATTAGTCTTAATAATTTCTTCTCATTGTATTGATATCATATGAGAACTTGAACTTTCGCATTGATAGTGCCAGACTCTATATTGCTAATGGTTGCTTGAATGTGTAACAGCTTAAGTTGGTTGGTTAAGAGTTCACCTCAAACAATTAAGCATATGTCAAAACGGTACGGTTCAAGTTTTCATTCACTTCCTTATTTTGTATAGGCGTTATATTTCCTATTATCTTATATTGAATGTTGAGAGGTTTTATTTGTCTGACCAAATAATGCCACGCTCTACTGTGACTGCGCGAAGATCTAAATAAAGACCTATTCACTACTTGTCTGGTTTCTTCTATCAATAGCACGAGGGTTACTTAGAAGCACGAAAAATGTACATTATATAACCACTTTATTATTATTATTATTATTATATTTAGCTACGTTATAATATCCAACCCTTGGTGATTATAATTTTTTAAACTTCTTTTTTGTCTAGTATACATTAACACAATCAACTATTGATTTTTTGAAGAAACCAACATTTGATATTTGGCATTGGGAACCAAATGAAGTAAGAATATTGTAAACAATATGATAATTAAAAGTATATATTATGCTTAAATATGAGAAGGGAAACAGATTTCTAGGTATATAAACCAATCAGAAACAAGATACTTATTCGACCAATCAGAAAAGAAATTATAAATGAATGAGTTATTATGCTAGGGCTTCACAGTTTAGTCATTAGGATAAATGATTAAGAGTTGAAACATGAATATTAGGATTAAACAAATAGAATTATAATTAAAGTTAATCATTTAAATGTATTATTTAAGATTGAGATTGAGTTTCATAGTTCATCTATGTTCACCATTAAGTCCTTAGAACTACTATAGTGGATGAGAACACAAGTGGAGACAATCGAATATATTTCAACACAAAATTACCCTATTTCTTAGTAAAATCTGAAAACCATACATTAAATTCTTTATTTGCAAAGTCTCAATCAAATGTCTCAGATTTTATTGTTCCTTCGTTTCCACATCAATCATTCTTTGTTCTTGTTTTTTTTTCTTCGATCCTCTTAACCTTCTGCCATCAGGTATTTCACTTTCGATTGATGATACGTACTACTTATATCTATCGATATTAGTAGTACACATCACACTACATACCAATGCTAACTGTGAGCTTAATTCTAAATCCTAACTTGATATTCTAAGCCTCAAGCATTTTGTGTTATTTTCACCATTAAAACTAATTATCTACTTTCAATAGATAACATTCTATTTTTATATACCATTAGTGACCTTGAAACGATTTGCTATTTACTGATTAGCTTACGTTTATATGTCAGAATTACTTTATTTTATTTAGAATTGTAAAAATTTAATGAAGATTTTGATAAGTCTTGCAAATTGAACGCTATATTCATTTCCGAAGCTATTCTGTAACCCCCAAGCTAAAACTACACAACGACCTGAACAAAGAGAGAGAAGACGCAAAGTATGCGAGAAGTAGTTTACTCCAAGGTTCATTTTAACACAGAAATTTTAGGGTTTTTATAATATTTTCAAATGTCCTAGGGTTGCTCGAAGATTCTGGAATGCTACTAAACATAGTAGCAGTGTAGCAATCAACCAATCAGAACCTCTGCATGTGACGTTTCACTTCCTTGATATTTTGACTAAAACTTCAAGCGAACGCTGATTGGATGAAACGCTTCTTAGTGTTTCATGATCCTTGCTTGTCTTTTGCGAGAAATTTCTTGGATCACCCCTACAGATTTATTGATAGAAAAACCATTGTGTCTGAGGAAAATGGTTTTTGAAAACCTTGTAACTAAACATTACTCACATATTTTGTGAATTCATTGTCCACTTGACCATGGCCTACGTGAATTAAATACCAATTATTACTGTTATGATATTTTAATGCCGTGTCAAATTATTAGACACTTTGAGGGTATTATAAATTGTGGTGTTCTGCCCTATTAATGTATAACGTAATGATATCGCCAATCGGAGAGCAGTGAATTATCGACCGGACCAATGAGGCATAAACACGTACGAGCAGTCTAGAATATTCATTGGTCCTATCTTCCTGTCTAGCCCTACCTATTGACACCAGAACACCAATCTCAGTCTCCGCCATATGAATAATTTATTTCAAACATACTGGGTTTATGTGCAAACCAAATAAACCACATCGTAACATAAAATACGGCAACCTGCTTCAATATCAGGGCTATCTGTTTCTGCCATCTAATTATTTCAACAAGCTATCTGTTTTTTTCATTTTTTTAACGTCTCATTATGTCCATTAATCGCATGTCTATTCCCGAGCTGCTAAACTCTAACTGCCGATTACTAAGCAACAAAGTGGACTATCTTCCATTCCTACTAAGTCAAAATATGTATCGTAGTTGTGGTGTCATCACAATTCAAGAATCTTGGTTAAATGATTTACAGGGCGACTGCCTAATATCACTATGTGATTTCGAAATTTATCGTCAGGATCGATCGAATAATAAAAAAGGTGTGGTGATGATGTAGCACCGTTTATAAACGTGAACTGGTGTCGATCTTTATCTGCGTTCTTCAAGTTTTCAAATGACTTTATCGAGTTTCTAACTCTAAGATGTCATCCAAAACATCTGGATAAATACAAATATGTTTATGTTACCGAAATCTACGTGACTTCAGACTGCACATCATCTGCGCTATCTGTTTTCGCTGATGAATTCACTGAGTTTGCTGTTACTGATGTAGGGTGGCGTCGAGTCGTTGTCGACTATGATCACCACTACAAGAAGGTTGCGCACCAGGTATCAGAAGGCGGTTGGAGGTTGTAGCAAGATATATTTGTTGGCGATCTTGTGGTATCGAAAGAATACCGAGATCGTGCCAAAGAAGTACACGCGAAATCACTGCGTACGAAGTCACAACCAACGGAAGGAAGAAGAATGTATTTAGTACAGTTAAACAAACAAGTACAGTAAAACAATCACTGCTACAATTGGTTATAATAATAATTGTTTCCATTAAACTAGTCGCGTTCTCTTGATAAAAGTAGGTCACTACAGGAACCCCCTCTAGAAAGGGTTTGCACTTTCGATACGTAACGGTTTCGTTCGTGGGACTGATCGGCAAACGTGCGATTGTAGGACGAGATGGTTGGCAGAGCGGTAGGCGATCGTTGATCCTCGAGTTACCACCGAAGGTCTTTTACGTAGAATGGTACCAGGAGAAACGTGCTGTATTTGTTGCTTGAGTTAGCGTACCACACCAAAGTGCTTTGTATGCAGGATCTGAGGACTGCGTTCGTAGTGGTGCAAACCAGAAAACTCTGCAGACGTAGGATGGAACCACGTCAAGCCAAGGAACCAGAAGCGACCATAATAACCTATTGCGAGACCAAACATATGCCAGACAGATTCGAAACCAGAATATCAACTGAGTGCGTTGACAAGAGCGTGGGTGATCAGGCCAGCTTTCGCCAAAGTTGACTGAAATCGACGGTACCAAACGGGTGATGATCGGAGGCTTGGGCTCAGGATAAAAAAATCAAAGAAAAAGAGAAAAGGTGTAGTATATGGGTAGAGTCCTATACCATATTCGTTGTTGGTTGCTCATTTAGTCGTGAAGGCGTGCGGGTAGGCGTATTTGGCGACCGGAACGTTAGACGATTGTCTCATTTGTACTTCGTGAGCCTGCAATCTCATCCGAAGTCAAGGGCGGCATGGTCCGCTGATCTGGACGTGAGACTGACGTCTCGTCCGTAGATGGTGCAGATGGCTGGGACATGAGAATCAGCTCTCTGATGTATCCAGCGTGGGATCCGAAGTAGATGTAGGGGTCTTGCTAACAGGTCTTATGGGTCTAGCATTGAGTCTCAACTTATCACATAAGGCACTGTCGTCGACGTGTGCTGGCTTGAGACGATCAATGCTGACCACCTCGACGAGGCCATGTCGATCAACCTTGAAGGTCTTTTCGTGACGAGAAATCACGTGAAAAGGTCTTTCGTGAGGCTGTTGCAGAGGTTTGCGTACCGAATCTACTCGTATGAAAACATGTGAACAGGTAGATAACTCTTGAGGGAGAGCGACCTGTCGATGTTGTATTCGAGTTGACACCGGAGACAGTGTTCGCATAAATTCAGACAGTCCTTGGACGTAGTCTGATTTACCGAAATGGTTACTACTCCATGGTGTGAAAAACTTCCAGGCAGACGCAATGTCGTGCCGTATACAAGCTCATCGGCGTAATGTTGAATTTCTGCCTTTAAGCTCGTTTTGATATCTAAGAGGACGAACGGTAAGGTTTCGTACCAAATGTCGTTTTCGTGTGCTTGAAAAGCACTTTTAAGTTGACGATGAAACCGTTCAACTAAACCATTTGGTGCTGGGTGGTAGGCGGTAGTACGTATGCGTTCCGTACCAAGCAGCCTCGTCAGTGAGACGAATAGTCAATCGGAGAAATTTCTCGAATAAAGCGTGGAATATATCGTCACGCGAATGAAAGACGCTTAAGATTCGGTAGGCGTACATCGGAGTCTATTATATTAGTACTATTCTTATCGTTATCCGTCATCTCAAGTTGTTGCCAGACAAAGATATTCCATCCAATCATCTTTTGGAAGAACACTCCAGAATCTTTACATATAGCTTCCCTATCAGACAAATTCCAATAACGCTCTGTATGAGGATTGGATAACTATAATAATGGTTTTGTTTTTACTAAAAACTATAAATACCTGACAGTTTTAGAATGGTATTCCTTTCACTCGTCTTCTGTCTTCTCATTTGTGACTTGGTGGGTACTAGTGTTCGAGTGGTCAAGTTATACGTGGCATATCAAGAATCTAAGCCTTGTATATAACAACCGGTTCATCCATTAATTAAATTTGTTTGTCTTAAATCTAACCTCATTTATAGAATTATTAGCATTGAACAATGAATAGTGGAGTTTAGAAGTCAGTTTGATTATTCAATGTTTTTCTCATTTTATTACTCCCTTTCTTTGATCAAAGATGTTAGCTCTATTGGAACACATGTATAACGAATTAGGTGTAGTTTCGGAATTCAATATAAATCCATTAACATTGAAACGTTGGTTGGTAAGTTCTATTTAAAAATTGTTTTGTTCTACTTGATTAAAATTAACTAAGTAGTATAATAAGTAAATGAGGTTTAGGAAATCCTTCAAAGCAGCTTATCCAGTAGAAAAAAACCTAACCACTTACGTATAAAAGATAATTAATGGCGAAAATAATGATAAAAGACCAAGTAGATATTCTGTCCTAACTCTTTGCATCCTCACAGGTAACCGAACGGAGGGCCTACAGGACTGCTAGCTAACATTATACTATAGTTTTTTGGCTTGGAGATAATTTCTTAGGGTTCGTTTGTCAATCACCCTGATAACCGTTATTAAATAAATCCCATCGGTGTAGGAATTTAGAAGGCAATGCGAAGAGGTGACTACAGTTTATTATTGAATAACACGGATAACAAAGTTACAAGCATATCAAGAGAATTGGAGTGGAGAGGCTAATGTGTGCGAGCAAGCGAATACATGGGTGAACTTAAAGTCAAATCGAATCGAGGCGAAGCGAAGTAAGGCAAGGCGAAGGCAATTAATAAGACTCAAGCACACATATTTACACAGACATGATAGTGATTATAACAATACATAGGAATAGACAAATTTTTACTGTTCGAATAACATTGTATATTAAATAAGTTAATTGAAGGGACTGACAAGATTACCCGTGAGCAAAATTAATTGTAGGAGGGTTGCTATAATACCTTCAAATGGCTGAATCCTATGTTAGTCCGTGGTCGGAAAGTTTCAAACTAAGACAAAGCTGCTTTATAAACGTGGATTATGGCTAACAATGGAATTCACAACATGTGTTTCGTCCCACTTCGGACTCGTCGGATGGGTGTACCTGCAGTTGTTGAATACTTCTCGTTTTCAGAAATGATTCTATTTTTGATGTTATTTAATTATTGAAACTAACCTCATAGTGCGTTACCATTAATAGATCATCCCATTCTACAATAATCTGACAACTTTATTTTATTATTCCACTTCATAGATATCAACAAATTAAGTACAACGATTGTAGCATAACAATGTAAAGTAATCTACTTTGCAGTATCACTTCATATACAATTAAAACCTAGAATACTGTAGTGTCAACTACTAATAAAAACTGAAACATACAACTTTATCATTTTAAATAGAAATGTTCATTTGAAGAAGACGATGACACAGATGGTAATTAATCCACGTTATTCACCTGTCACAGATTTAATTATGTCGAAATTAAGATAGTTATCATCGATAAAACTTGGCAATAGCCAATAATTGTGGTTAAGGCTAGGGGTATGAAGCATTCAGTTCAGATCTGGTTACTCATCCATTTTTTCAGTGACTTCAAAGTCAACCGGAATAGATTTGATCCAATGTTCAGTTGATCACTTACTTTTTCGGAGAACCAAAACAATTGTGGTCAACTTTCTAGTTTATAAGCGGTTTTTATGTATATGTCACTAAACAGTGAAAAATGACTTTGATGTATTGTTCCTAAAGACTGATGAAAATATTTCCACTTTTATGGGATCAATTCAAGAATCACCACAACCCTATACTGATAATTACCATGTGCTCACTAGCAACTAGCTTCATGAGGGAATTCGCGGAGTTCTAATGAGAAGCAGTAACCAGTAAGGCTTATCTAGGTATCTACCTCAGTACAATGGAAAATGGTCACGCAATTTCATGGATTGGTTCAAGTTAGACATTAACACCGTTGGTTGCCGACTCGGTGGTCTAGAGATAGAGCGTTCACACTCCAGACTGAAGGCCCTAGTTTCGAATCTCGGGAGCGGGATCGTGGGTGGGTGCCGCTGAAGAGTCCCACAATAGGAAGAAACAGCTGTCCAGTGCCTTCAGGTTTACAATGATGGTCTAACATCAATCGGTTCATGATCTCAATCAATTCAAGACTCTAAAACATGCTTTACATCTATCTCAAATTATTATTTACATTCCTACTACTAATATTCATTCAAAGTAGTTTAAAGATTCAGGGAAAAAATCAATTACTCATTCCAAATTTCATTTTCTAGTTCGATGCTAAATTATTTTTATTCCTTTTATCACATTTTAGTTATCTATACAAGCGAATTATCGTAATAATCCATTTCATAATTTTCGACATTGTTTTTGTGTTGCACAAATGATGTATGGAATTTTATATTTATGTGGATTGAATAATGATTTTTCACGTGAAGAATTAGGAATCCTATTGACTGCTGCTGTATGTCATGATTTAGATCATCCAGGATATAGTAACTCGTAAGAATCAAGAAAGTTTTTTTTATTTTTTCTAAATTATCGATCTCCAATCATTTTCATTCCTGTTTTAAGTAGTTTGTTGATTGATATGATCTGATAGTTATATAAAATCTGGGATTTGTTACCTACTTAATTACTTACGCCTGTTAGTCCTCGTGAAGGAGCATAGGCCGCTCACCAGCATTCTCCACCCAACCCTGTCCTGGTCAGTCCTTTCTAGCTCCTTCTAGTTGTTATACATCCTTTTCATATCTGCTTCTATTTCCCGACGTAACCCGTCTTTCACCATGAGGCGTCATAACTCTTCTAAACGAAGACCTTCTGACTCCCAGGACAGAGTTTAAATGGTTTAAATAACTTTTTCTGGTTAGTGTATTTTTAGAGAGTTAGTTTTCTACGCGATGGGGTCGCTAACCCTATACCTGACCGTCCTTTTTTATCCGGGCTTGGGATCGGCAGTAACTTTAGAAGAGCTACAGGCGGAGTTTGGGATTTGTTAACCTTTTTTAAATGTAGATCCATATATGATATAGCCAACTATGTACGAATGTTATTATTTGTAGTTCCATCTCTGGATTTATGACAAGACAATCTGAATTAATCTAACTTCTATGGTTATTCATCTTATGCTACACCTATCATCTTTAGGGTAACTTAGATAGTTAACCTTAGAAATCTTTTGAGAAGATTTGAGTTGGCTTAAATAACTTAGTTTATGAATAAATTATCTGATCAGTAATGAAAATTATGACTGTCTGTGTTGATTTTCCTGCTAGATTGAACAGTTACAAATTTACAAATGCTAGTTTATGATACGTAATTGAAAACGTTATTTCACGGTATAAAGTCATGGAGTAAAAGGTTTTATACAGATATGTATCAGTAATGATATTTGGAACTGATGTTTGGCCGTGAAAGTTAAATATGATCGATTGTTGAGAGTGAGAAAACAGCCACAGTCTACGAACTATTAAATATGTGATTCCATTTCCTCTAATTGAAATCTACTACGGACTCATTTAGTGTGACTACTTGTAGTCGCATTGCATAAAGTTGTATCTAAAGTTAATCTAGTTTTCCATTCTGGGCCATAACTTGACTAGTCTCTTTATCGTAAGAGTGAGAAAAACATCTTTTCTTACCCCCCAACGAGTAGAAAAATGGTATATCTAACGTTTCATGACTTAAGGTAATCTACTTCAATCGATCCATGATCTCGCTCAACTCTTCATCCATTGTTTGGGGTGGATAACTGTTAAGTTCGCTACTTCATTAACACAGAATACGGTTTACGACTACGACACTCGAAAGTTGAACTTCACCGTCGCAAATCAGAAGGTAGAAGAAAAACTGGAGAAGTGTTTATTTGGTAAGACTTAAAGTGTACAGAAAATCACGGGTATTTGTAGATATTAGCATTTGTTAAATCAACATTATATTTTGGCCAATTCGCAAAGAGACATATTGTGCTACTGACCAATAGTAGCATGCCACATTTATATTCCAGAAAGCTCCATCATGTTCTGATTGACTGGAACTGTTCGGCTCCTTTAGGGCCTCTGTAGGGTCAGTTGTAGTTCTCGGAAGCCGACTCAACAATAACTGTCTCACAACCGATACGGATTGGACCCTACTAGTCACGGCTCCTAATGGATGCACACTGCTAAGGAGTCCTATACTAGGACGACTAAATATCTTTTTTACATTAATCAATATTTAACCATAATTTTGTTTTAAATAGTTATCAAATAAACGCAAGAACAGAACTGGCCATACGATATAATGATATATCACCATTGGAAAATCATCATTGTGCTGTTGCATTCAGTATATTGAATAATCCTGAATTAAATATTTTTGCAAATGTCAATCAAGAAGTATTCCGTCGAATAAGACAGGTCAGTACACTTTATATAAGGATAATTAAGAGGATGTTGTGATAATGATAATGATGGCTTAAGAAAATATGAATGTTATGTTGCTTATTGATGTTGTACGACAGATAACACTGGACGGTTTCTTCATCTCAGTGTAGAACCCTCCAACAGTGCACAACGATGACTTTATCAAGGACCAAGGTTAGACTCTTCTGGTCTCTTGATAAGTACCTTACTGCGTTAACATTTACTGGTTCACGTTTTTAACTCTAATTAACGGGTTATAAGTATCAAAAGTCATCCAGAGTCATTGTTGATAACTGTCTCAGCTCTAACCTGACTGAACTACACTAGCAACGACGTCCAAATAGAAACAAGAGAACAGATCTTGGAACAAATCATTAATGCACCCTAATTATATTATTATTTAAATATTTTGAAGAGTACGGTTTAATTTGTAGATGGTAGTGAGATGTGTTCTCCATCTTCCTATGGGAAGTTGTAATTGGCAAAGTTCAGACAGGTCAAGAATGAGATAGCTGTCTTCTATGATATTGGTTTATTATCGTATAATACCGTCAATTAACTGAAATGGAATATTCAAACAATCCAGTCATAATTTAGTTAGCTTAACTTGTCAGGCTCATCTCTAGATCTGAGATTTTTCGGGTTCGATTCAGTATGGAGTCATAAGTGAGCAATGCTGAAAAATTTCAAAATAAGATAAATAAGTATTCACTACTCTCTGTTTTTAAGTAGTTTTCTGTTTAGTATCAATCTGTCTTCAAAATAAATTTCAGTTAAAATGCAAATATGAATCAAGTAAATATTCTATTATTATTTATTTAAATAAATAAAGATTGGTACGAGAAGGCATCATTTGATTTGTGTAAAGGCTGGGATACTCTCCGGGTGCTCAGACTGAACTAGGTGGTTTCCTCAAGGGGCAACAGCCTGAGCCTGATCCACTAGGTTGTGGAGCAAAGTCAGGAGATGCAGTCCAATGGCAGCCCGTGACCAACGATTGGTTCATACACCATTTGTTCCATCAGCATCCTGCAGTCTATGTCCGCCATTGGTTTGGAATCAGGGTTTTCCAACTCCCCTACATGAACTCTCCGTGTCCATCAATCCCTGTTAAAGCGCCGAACATTCGCTTTTCGTCCTCTCAATTTCGTAAACAACACCCCTGTTGCAAGAAGGCAGTGAGTAGGACTTTCCTGGCAGTGGTTGTATGCACGTGGCTATGTGAGAGCATTTAAAGATGGAGAGCTGACTCCCCCCACTCTTGGCCGTACCAGGGCATTTGGAGGCAATAGATGTTCTTTACAATTCACTTAACAATTATGTTTCATCTCTTTTAAACAAAAAAGGCGTCACCAAGAAAACATGAACATACTTTGATCTATGTTTGAAACATGGAGTGAAGCTTTGAAATCTTTAATACACCCAAAACAAATTAATTCTGATAATTCATTCTTGTACAAACCTTTGAAGATATTCACAAGCAGATTAGTTTATGTTTACTCGTTAGAACTAACCTACTATGAAATAAAGATATTTTACACTGATGGATCAGAGGGTAGTTATTAGAATCTTATCTCATTAATCCTCGGTCCTGACTGAATTCCATCAACCAAGTAACATTGTGGAGATTAGTCTAAGTGACTCTACTTCGCTTACAATATATTTTGGATATAAACTGATTGATCAGTGATTAATCAGTTTAAAATCAAGAATATGCATGATCAGTTTCTTTTGACGTACATACATCTAAAGTTGATTCCTTCGATAATGCCTTCAGCTACTAACTGATTACTTATTTGAATTAGAGATTACAGTATAATCATTCATCTCATCACTAGTATAGGGGTTGTGGAGAGTACTAAGTTTTTTATTGAGATCATGAACCGATTGATGTTAAACCACCATTGAAAAACTGGAAGAACTGGACGGCCGTTTCGTCCTATTTTGGGACTCCTAAGCAGTGCACACCCAAGACCCCGCCCGCGGGATCCGGACCCAGGGCCTTCGGTCTCGCGCGCGAACGCTTAACCAACTGGACCGCCGAGCCGGCATCCAGTGGTGATAGTCTCTAACACCAACCAATCCACGAAATTGCGCGACCACCTTCCATTGTACTGAGGTAGATACCTGTCTCTACCCGACATGGATTAGCTCCACTGATCACGGCTTCTCACTAGAACTCCGAGAATTCCCTCACGAAGCTAGTCACAAGTGAGTACATGTTGATTACTAGTATAGGGGTTGTGGAAGAACCTTCTGTTCAATGTTTACACGGAGACTCACAATAGAAGTTGATTAAATCCAGCGTGGAACATCGACATTAGAGAAAATATAAACACTTATATACAATAACCAACATTATAGATGTTGAACAAGTTTTTCGGCCATTATAAACCATTAATCTTTGCATCTAAACTAATGGATACAGGATATGTGTCTCAGTTTGAGCATCAACACTAGGATGCAATAGATTCAATCAATTATACTAAAGTAGGACAGAAGAATCTCGTCGATTACATTGCTGATCATAGTCTAAATAAATTGACAAATGACTCTTATTGAACACATCGATTAGACCTGAATTGTTTTAATCGTAACTGCTTCAGTAGAACGTCAACAAATTACATTTTCATCGTCTAATGATTATCTTAAATGATTTACGAACATCAATGATGTACCCGCTATCTATGAAAAATCTATCTATTGTACTGTTCAAGGAATTAACACCATTTAACTACAAATTCTTTAGTGTTTGCTAAGAAATATTGACAGTTACTCCTCTCTCTCTCTCTCTCTGTCTATTCTTCCAATGTATGCGATTTGGTGCCCACATACTAACTGATAAATCCAAATAGAGGTATTGAGAAAATAATATTTATAGATTTGATTTTGTGCCAGTGAGCATTTGTTTTCATATAAACTGATGAGCCTGTAGCCTGGCGTCGAGTCGCGGTAGACTATGAACACCACTACAAAGGAACGCGTGCCAGGATATCCATAAAATCCCCCGGAAGCCAAATATCAGAAGTTAGTTAATGGACCAAATTGAAATATATTCACTGGCGATCTCGTGGTATCGAAAAAATACCGAGATCGTGCCAGGATACAAGCTTGGTTACAGAACGTAACCGTATTCGCGCGAGGTCACAATCAAAGTATGTATAATGGATGTTTTTAGCACAGTTAAACAAAGAGCACATTGAAATGGTCACTGGTACAATTGGTTATAATAATAATTGTTTTCATTAGACCAATCGTGTTCTCGTGATAAAAGTGAGTCACTACAAGCCTAACCTCATCGTTTAAGGATTTTGTTCGGTTAATTAACAAAATAGTTATTTACTCAATTAGTTGTCACGATATTTACTATAGTCATCAATTTGTGTGATAATTCATCATCTTTGATTGAGATCATGAATTGATTGATGTTAGACCAGTATTGAAAACCTGGAAGTCATATTGTGGGACTCCTCAGAAATGAGTATCCACGATAACGCTCTCGGGATTCGAACCCAGGGCCTTCAGTCTCACGCACGAACGCTTGACCTCTAGACCACTGAATCGGTATTCAATCAAAAATTTAATAATCTCCACAACCGTATACTGATAATTTATCATTTGGTTAGCTACCACAAATGATACATTTTGTAATGTGTAAAAAATTAGTTACTGGTACTTAAATTATTGTACTGCAAATTATTTTTATGAATCGGTCTGATCAACTGCATATGTCATGTTGGTTTCTATTACTTAGTAAATTACAAAAAAGTATCCTTTATTTGTTTTTTAACTCTAAACAAGAAACAAATGACTGTTTTACAATGCCAGTACACATAACAACGAAATGCTCCACTAGTAAGATGGTGGTTGAAGGTAGTCAACAGGAAACCCTAGCCCCGAGTTTCGGGGTTATTTGTTACTCGTCAGCAAGGTGTGCCTGCAATCCCGATCTCGATCCCGTGTCACCCAACTTTACAGACAGCGATGTTATCACTGAGCTGTTCGGGCTATCTACCTTCAACCACCATCCTATCTCATTATAGTTCCCTCAATGTCGAGTCACTTAGACTAGTGGCCACATTGCAACTTGGTCGATAGCATTCGATCCGCACTAACAAGGACCTGAAACACATAACATTGATCACCACTTAGTGATCAATCAATTGTGAGTACTTCCTTGTATTCTTTTACAAACATTTCACATCCATAGTCATGCATAACAATTCACATCTAGTTTTTCATGTTTTTACTGAAATTCATAATGATGTTATTGATAATCATCATGTTCGTTCAATTCTTCCGTTATAACATAGAGGACACTTCTTCAAATTTGACTGGTTCGTTCTAATAATTAAACTTATGCCAAAAATTCGATAAACTTATATGGTATTCATTCATTTTTACTTACTCACTTAAGCCTACTACTCCTCGTGAAGGAGCATAGGCCACTAAACAGCATTCTCCATCCAACTCTATCCTGGACAATCCTTTCCAGCTCCTTCCAGTTGTTATTCATCCTTTTCATATCTGCTTCTATTTCCCAATGTAATGTGTTCTTTGCTCTTTCTCTTTTCCACTTCCCTTCAGAATTTCAAGTTAGGGCTCGCCTGGTGATGCAGTTTGATAATTTGCGTAATCTATGTCTTATCCATCACTTCCAATGACTTTTCCTAATTATTCATTCATTTTTAATACTTTTGTTCTCTTTAATTAGGGTATGACAAGTTTAATTCTCTCTACTGATATGGCAAGACATGGTGAAATATTAGAAACAATGAGAAGACATTTAGAAGAAGGTTTTTCAATGAATAAAAAAGAACATCGTGAAACTGTAAGTAAAGAAAGTTAAATTTATAAGAAGACATTTGAATTTACGCTTACACGTTCACGGATGTGTATTACTGGAGAGTCTAGTCCTTTCAGGTTTTCAGTCATAGTTGGCAATTTCAACTGAGAAAATTTTGCATAACTCCACAAATATCTTACACCAATCTTTAACTCGTTGACGACTTCAACTGATCAGGGTTTTTTTGTTGATTAAATGGTAATATTCTGTCACAACACCATATACCTATTAGAAGTTTAAGCCTTTCAACCGCACAAAAAATGTCCTTGAACCATATAAGATATAAACTATTATCAGATGGGTTTTGTTGATATTATATTAATTTCAATGGTTCAGATCATGAGTCAGTTGAAGCTAGACCACCATGGAAAACCTGGAAGCAATGGACAACCGTTTCATCTTAGTATGGAACTCCTAGTGGTGGATCTGATGCGGATGTGAAAGCGTGGATCGAAAAAACAAGAGTAGCACATCTACAAATGAAGAACCTCTGGAACTGAAAACAACTGTCAACCAACACCAAGGTCAGGATTTTCAATACAAATGTCAAGACAGTTCTACTGCATGGGATGGAAACTTGGAGAACCACCAAATCCATCATCCAGAAGATACAAATGTTTATTAACAGTTGTCTACACAAAATACTCCGGATCCGTTTCCCAGACACTGTCAGCAACAACCTGCTGTGAGAAAGAACAAACCAGATCCCAGCGGAGGAAGAAATTAGGAAGAAGCGCTGGAATTGGATTGGACACACATTGAGAGATGCACCCAACTGCGTCACAAGTTAAGCCCTTGATTGTAATCTCGATGTCCAAAGGAGAAGAGAAAGACCGAAGAAGACATTGTTTCGAGAAATGGAGATAGACATGAGTAAAATGAACAAGAATCGGATGGAACTAGAAAAGAAGGCCCAGGATAGAGTAGGTTGGAGAATGCTGTTCAGCAGCCTATGCTCCATTAGGAGTAACAGGTGTAAGTAAGTATGTGAGTAGGGTATTTGTGGAGTTTTGCAAAAAATTTTCCCAATTGAAATCACCAACTGATCTTAACTAGACTACGAATAAAAACCTGGAAGAACTAGACAGCTGAATAGCACTTTTCTTTCTAAAATGTTTTCTGTTTTATATATCCACATAGCTCTTTGAGAAGAAAGATGTTCAATTTTAATCTAATATATAGTCCATTGACGGTTACGATTACTAACATGATCATCTTGATTATTTCTTTTATAGTTCAAAATGGTTCTCATTAAATGTTGTGATATATCAAATGAAGTAAGACCATTATCGGTCAGTGAACCATGGGTTGATTGTTTATTGGAAGAATATTTTAATCAGGTGAAAAGAATTATTATTATACATATTTTCTTATTTAAATTTGATTTAATTACTTAAGATGGTGGTTGGAGGTAGTCAACAGGAAACCCTGGAACTAGGTTTTGTGCCACTTGTCACTAGTCAGCAACATGTACCTGTAATCTTGAAGGAGTTGATGCTCCCTTTTAGAGGAAGATCCAGAAGCCGTAGACGTCATAGTCCAAACACACACACTCTTAGTTTCCCTGTGTGCTTGCTTTCTGTAGGCTTGCGGATTTTACCAATCTTTAACAATAAGCTATCTCGATAACTCGTGTTCAGGCTTTTGAATAATCTCGAGTAAATCCATAATTCTACTAGGAGATTTAGACTGAATTAAATACTCAGTTAACGGGGATACTAATTATTAGAGTCAGATATAGGGGAAATTAGCCTCTACATCTTGACAGGTTCGATTCCGTGTCACCCAACTTCACAGTGACGGAGGTTACCACTGAGCTAGCTATCCGGGCCGCGACTGACCTTCCGTAAGACTAAGATGCATTCATAAATGATTGATCACTGAGTGGTAATCAATGTCATGTATGTCAGGCCCTTCTTAGTGCAGATCGAATCCTATCGATCAAGTTACTTAGTAGTAAATCATTCCAAATTGTCAAAATGTATCAATCAGGTTTCAGTGTAACCAGTTGTTTAAATGTATCAATATGACAGTGTAATTTATTTTTTTGTTCTTGTTAATGTTAGGTAGTTAGAAACCATAGATATGAAGATATATTTGATCAATATATATATTGTCCAATTTCACTTTATTCATCAAGGTATATCATCTGTTCAGAAAGAAATAATGTCTCTCATGATGTTGCGGAAACATCTTGCTGATAAGTTCCAAGTAGTATAAGTATCTGTCTTCAGCTTCTTACAGATTGTCTTTTTACAATATGTAAAGGAATACAAAGTTCTCTCATTATCAGTAACAATAATATAACCTTAAAAGCATTCCGTTTATCAATGATGGGATACAATTAAGTAATGCTTTTAATTAGCCACCCAGTAATGAACTAACAACTTCTTCTTTTATATGCTTGATTAGATATGTCGTATGGTTTAAATACAATAGGCTCAATAATGTCTAACCTTTCAGTTGACTTGAAGCTCATATCTTCTATCCCATGTAAGACGATAAGTACACTCTTATGATTAAAAGTGTTTCATCATAAAGAATATGCTTAACTAATAGGGCTTTACCTAATAGCTTGTATGGGTAAATGTATATAATGGATATATGGTAGTGAAGTAAAGTGTGATCAGTTACTGAGCGTGAACAAACAACCATAGTTTACGGACTATTAAATATGTGATTCCCTTTCCTATTATTGATTCCTATCACTAACTCTCTGTTTTTGTATTCTGGGTCGTGAATTCTGTATCTGACATAACTTAACTAGTTTCTTTATCGTATTAACATATTATGGTAATATACATGAGAGCGAGAAAAATATCTTTAAGCAGTCCATTATATCAATATTGATTTGAATACAATATCTAGATCCTTATATGAAGGTAGATAATTTAAAATGAACTTATCAATAATTCAATTAAATAATTGAATTCATACATCAACTGAAGCTAGATCACCATGGAAAACCTGAAAGCACTAGATGAGCGTATCGTCCTAGTATGCGACTCCTCATCAGTGCGCATCCACGAACACTCTACGCGACATTCGAACCCAGGACCTATCATTCTTACTTCAGTCTAACATCAATTGACTCATGAATTCAATTATTAAATTACTACAGCCTCCACAAAACCCCTCTTTGATTATAATCATCATATGTCTACTAGTGACGGTCTTCAAGAAGTATTTCTTGGAGTTCTAGGGCGAAGCTGTGACCTGTGGAGTTCAATCGGGTCTGTTGCGAGATAGTAACTCACTAAAGATAGTAGTGGACTGTGTTGCAGCTTCATGGATTGGTTAAAGTTAGACGGCTCAGTGGTCTAGGGGTTAAGTGTTCGCGCGCGTGACCTATAGGTCCTGTGTTCGAATCTTGCGATCGGGGTTGTGGGTGTGAACTGCTGAGGAGTCCCATACTATGATGAAGCGGCCGTCCAGTTCTTTCAGGTGTCTCATGATGGTCTGGCTTTAATTGACTTATGAATTCAATTATTAAATTACTACAATCTCTACAAAACCCCTCTCTGATTATAATTCACTGAAAAAAGGACGAAATCAAAGTAAGTTTAAGGTCAGTAATATAGTAACTATGTACAAAAGTCAAATAACTTTCTAATCGATGAAATAGGGAGTTAATCATTTCTAGAAAAATTTCAATAGCTTACAGATGATATTAGCTAGAAAAATAAAGAAAACTTCACTGTTCTACTATTCAGGTCAATAAACATAGAATCTTATGAAATGACATAATGCAATTGAGTAACTAACACAAGATTTGTATACTCAAACAAGTACAACACATTTTGTTTGAAATCTGGTCATCCTGTGCACTTGTTTAAATCCTATTGGGTACATGAAGGTTTTCAACGTGTCATTCAGGAGTTCCATATCTTGATCACTACTTCAAAGTCAAACGACTTTATGATATACCTTTATATACTTCTAATGAATCGAGAAATAGAGATAGACTTGAGAAGAATGAACAATAATTGAATAGAACTAAGAAGTACGGCCCAGGATAGAGTAGGTTGGATAATGCTTGTCGGTAGCCTATGCTCCACTTGGAGTAACTAGCGTAAGTAAGTAAGTAATTAATCGATCATTGTATGAAGAAACAAACTTCTTTGTTTGATGACGTTTATTCACTGGTAGCTCTTTTCATAAAATTTAGTCTGACCGAGAGAAATTAGAAGGTTTGCCAGTAGCACCATTTATGGATCGTGAAAAGGTTACTAAACCATCAGCACAAATTGGTTTCATCAAATTTGTCCTCATTCCAATGTTTCAAACGGTGGCAAGTGTAAGTGTTTACAACCTTATTTTCGATTATATTTTATGTCAATCGTTCTCATTAATCCGATCAGATTTGTAGAGAAATAAATAAAAACCAGTGAAATCAGGAAGTACTGAACAGCTTTCTAGTCTTAGTACAGAATTTCTTAGTAGTGTACATCTACGACCTGCTGAAGATCCAACTCAACGCCTTCAGGTTACAAGACAAGCCTTTGAATTGTAGACCACCAAGTCATAACTGGTGACAATTCCCGCACTAATATGGAATAGATTACAAGTTTTCCATTTCTTTTAAGGTTGTTTAAGTCATGTCAATCTATGATCTAAACTGTCAAGTTTAACCATCTCCATAGTATTCCATATATTTAGTTGAATACACTATACTACTCATCATATGAATTATTGCATAAATTTTTAAAAACAGACCAGATAATTGTGTGAATTATGTATATACAGTTCATTGCGTAATTGTTTTAAGTAATGTGTTTAATGAGATGATGATTACTACTAATAATGTCCACAATAGACGGAAGGATAAGTTGAATTCATAAGTCTATTAAAGCTAGATCTCCATGAAAAACCTGCAAGCACTAAACGGCCGTTTCGTCCTAGTATAATACCGATAGGTCGTGGGTTCGAATCTCGCAAGACGGCATCGTGTATGTACACTGCTAAAGTATCCCATACTAGGATGAAATGGCCGTCCAGTGCTTCCAAGTTTCCCATAGTGGTCTAGCTTCAACTGAATCATGATCTCAACTAGTGAGATTATTATGTATTTATAGAAATTTTCTTTAGATAAATCGTTATTATAAACTTCAATTTCAAGCGTATCAAATTTGTGTGTTTGAACACTTCAATTGAATAAACGATAATTTATTAATAAGTGAAGTCGAGGGTTCTCTATAAGAAATGGAACAGAGTAAAGATATAACTGAATGACGGTTATGAATAGAAGTTTTTAAAATGAAGTTCAAAAGAATCAGTTTCATGAGGATACAAAATGACTTCTACTTGGGACATAGTGAATACAAAAGGTGAATAAATCTCTTTTATACACATTAGTTTCAATGGATCTCAATGGTTTTAGCCATTTAGAAAAGATTTATTCATGTAGTTTTTAATAACGGACACTGGAAACTATGCAAGACCTTTCCTCCATACAGGGTTTCCATCTATCAAATGAACAATACTAACATTATTTACTAATTGTTTAAAGTCTTTTCATCATCAAGAAGCTATATATTCTTGTGTATGCAAGGATTATGCCCATTTTGATGGAGTTTTGTTCTCTTAGCTGGATGGTTCGGTCATGGAGTTTTCATAATTCTTCTGAACGACATCATCAGCACAAACTTAAAATAGAATCCATCCACCTGAGAAACAAATCTTCTCCACCATCTCAAGGGTTATGGCCTTTGAACACGGCCTATGTACCCAACTCTACAGTAGTTAATTTGATGTATATATATTAATAAACTTATCATCTTTTACTATTGTACCAGCTTATGCATTTTTGAGATGGCATCAAACTTAATGACAGTCAACTTAAACTAGTGAAGATTTGTAGCTCAGGTAGATGATATTGACGGCGTTTTGTTCTCTCAGTTGGATGGTTCGGTCATGGAGCTTTCATCGTTTTTCTGAACGACATCATCAACACAAACTTTAAATAGACGTGAAGCGTTCGAATTTCTCAACGTGTGGTTCACAGCTTGTCCTATCTGCACAAACATAAGAACAAAAATCAAACCAATCGAAGATACAACCGAAACAAAGAAGTAAACAATGAAATGTTTAAGGTCAATAAGAACCAATCAACATCTAGGTGTACAAGACAAGCTGTGAATCACAAGTGGAGAATTTCGTACGCTTCACTTCTACCTGAAGTTTGTGCTGATGATGTCGTTCAGAAGAACGATGAAAGTCCCACAACCAAACCATCCAGTTCATAGAACAAAATTCCATCAAAAGTGAACTTGAATGCTATGTCATAGCTACATCACCTTTAAATTAAAGTCTTAAGTCGACAGTTTTCTTATTCAGTTTTCATATACTCATGTATATACGCTTTATCTATTTTGTTTCTATGTTTTCCTATTTTTTTAATTCATATTCGAATGAAATTTCCATTAAGGTTTATCCAATTATTGATGAACTTATGGTAACTCAATTGAAATCAGCATTAGAACGTTATGAAAAGATGTTGGCTGAAGAAGAAGAAACAAAACGTAACTTACAAATGAATGAAGCAGATTAATACTTTAATAAAAGACATGCTGAACTGATACACACACACACACATGCACACTCACATGCATACAATCAAGAATTTTGTATACGTGAACATAAAGGTGATCATTTTTGGCTTCCATTCTCAACTTAATAACATAATCATGTTGTCTTTTCCAAATAATTGTTGTTTTTCTTTTGTAAAACACTACTTAGAAAAACTGTAACTAGTGCACGTGGCTATCAGAACTCAATATCTGAGTGGATAACGCGAACATTACTGGGTTCAGGTCCCAGAGTGAGCATCAACTCTCAAGTGCAGGTACATCTGACTGACGAGTACCAAATAAGACGAAACGCATGTCAAACTGGATTCCATTGTTAACCACTATCCATCTTTGTTTATAATGCTTGTGAATTAAGGCAATATTGAGGCTATCCGCTTACGATGCACATATGCCAACAAGAGACTGATCAATTGCAGTTCTACACAACAATGGGAAGATACAAGCAAACATTACCAAGTTAATGTAACTAGTGCAGTTCATTTATGTTGGGATTGAGACATGTCTCATAGATAAAAATGAATATGAATCACAAAATACAACGAATCAATTAGAGTCGAGAATATTCTATATTGAATAGCCGATTGTGTCACTAAAATACAAAATAAAAACGATTCGGGTAGGAGAATTTACTTCTCAACAAGATCATTTACTTAAGTTGTACATGCACATCTACAGTTGTTTGGCAAATATATAGGTCTGGAGAAGGATAGAAAAGATTGCATCATAAAGTAATTCAAGACTTTAAATATCAAATATGGTTACGTAATAATCACGGAGTCAGAGAAGAATAGGTGAATGAAAATAATTTATGGGTCAGAATTATGAAAGATAATTGTCCGCTTGATAGATATGAAGAATCAATGTAAAACACAATGGTCATTATAGTAACTAAATGATGATCATGAAGATTGTTAAAGGATAACAATAACTGATTACGATGGAGTTTTTTCCTCTGAGCTGAATAGTTTGATCATGGCGCTTTCATCACTCTTCGGAGCGACATCATCAGCACAAACTTCAGGTAGAAGTCTCCACGACCAAACAATCCAGCTCAGAGAACAAAACTCAATCAAAATCATGCACCTGAGCTACAAATCTTTTCCACCATCTCATAACTGATTACGTTTTGCAATCAAAAAATATTGATGAAAACGATGATGCATAAACCTATCACTTTTCAAACGCATCTCATAACATCATCTGGTGTTGTTTCTAAAATGAGAATGCATAACAATCACTAGTGCAATACAAGAACACCTGATCAATTCTGAACACGTTGCTTCAAAGAAGTTTTCATGTAGAATAATCTACATAATCCAAAGAGCTGAGTCGAAGAGAGGTTGAATCAAGAACTTATACACTGTTGAGACGTTGACGATCCACCAAATAAAGTCCGAACTCTGCGAGTTAAAACAATACGTCAAGCCTCTCATCATTCCTTTGCCCTGATTCCCTTTTTTAGTATGTTTTGGTCTTGTTTTATTAATCGTCTTTAAATTATAAACTGCAATCAGCTGTTATTAACCTTTAACAATCATCATGCTCATCATCTAGTTACTATAATGACCATTGTGTTTTACATTGATTCTTCATATCTATCAAGCGGACAATTATCTTTCATAATTCTGACCCATAAATTATTTCCATTCACCTATTCTTCTCTGACTCCGTGATTATTATGTCACCATATTTGATATTTAAACTCTTGAATCGCTTGATGATGCAATCTTTTCTATCCTTCTCCAGACCCATATATTTGCCAAACAACTGTAGATGTGCATGTACAACTTAAGTAAATGATCTCGTTGAGAAGTAAATTCTCCCCTCCGAATCCACCTTATTTTCATTAAATAATCAATTAATTAATTATAAGGTAGAGTCTTTTCAATCAGTTCTAATAGGTATTGAATTCAATTCCTCTAAGGTTTTGAGTGTGTAGGGAGATGAGAAGTTCTACTCTAAAATGAAATAGCTTTCTAGTGCTTCCTAACTGTACATCGGTCGACTAACTAAACGTCAATCAATGATAATAACGACAAAAGTTAAGACGTTTGCTCAGTGGATAAAAGTTATGGCGTTCTTAGCTAAAGATACTGGGTTAGAGTCTCCATGTGAACATCATTAGTGGGATGCAGACACGTCGAGGTGAAGCTTATCAAATGAATCGTGACCCATGGCTCCCACTTCTAGCCACTGTCTAACATTATCAAAATACTCGTGGCTAGCTGATGACAGTGAGATGATTCCCTCCGAATGTGTGTATGGAAAAAGTGACTGACAATCTACAATCCTTAACACTGACAACGGTAAAATACAAACTCCTACAAGCAAAATTTATTAAGAAAGACTACAATACTGTCAACTTAAGAACATTTACCCTGATGGCCTCAAATGGTAGCCAACAATAAAAGCTTTCAGCTATTTTAAGTGCATCGTCAACATCGTCCTCATGTTGTTTCTGTTAAGTAGTTGAGAAAATATTAAATCAATGAACAAGTTTCAGTGGTTTTATAATTTGCAGTTCAAAATATTTGTTGAACTTTTGACTACTTAATTAGTCATTAAAGTAACATAAATTGAAATGTTAAAAATGTACGGGACAGTTAAAAACCTCGTAATATTGGTCGAAATGCCATTGAAGCAATTCCACACATATTCCAATTGTTACGAAGTACTTTCACGTAACCCTGTTCACCCCAATTTGTCCCCCAATTATTTTGTAATATCCAGTAATCGTTGCCATCATTATCATAACCGTAACCAACAAGTAACATACTTTGATTTAAATTATAATGTGTACATGTATCAGATTGATATATTCCTGACCTGAAAAAAAAGTTGATTACAAACTGAACTTATTGTGAAACGAATTCATATCTGAGTCGTAATTTTCTTAAACACCCACAAATCGAATGGGAAATTGATACATTCAGATGAGGTTAAGATTAATAAAATTAGAGACTACAAGAATAAAGTTATTTAATTAATTGAATCCCGGTTCAGTGATCTGGAATTTGATCGTTCACGTATGAAGCTGAAAGTCCTGGATTCGGTCCCTAGTCACAAGATCGTGGGCGAAACGGCTGTCCAGTACTTCCATACTTTCTATGATGATCTAACCAAAATTAATCAAGGGATTCAAAACCAATGAAAGTTGTACCATCTCCACCAAACCCTACACTGGGAATGAATTAAATTTTCGATTAGTTAGATAATTTATTTACCATCATTAATTAACTGAGATCAGACATGTAAACATCCGAAGCTAAATTCAGTGTTCTAAAACTTAGTCTACTAATTGAGTACTCATTATTGAGTTTAAATCATCCGTGGGTTCAAAACTGTTCTAGGATGAAGACTTCGAATCTACTTGTAAACAAGTGTTAAATGTTATAAGGTCTATCCCCTAATCAATAAGCAAACATAACAATATTTTAGCTTCACAATGAATGTGTTCATATTTCCAAAATCAATAGATTAACAAAACTCTTTTTTGTGTTCGTTAACTTGAATGCTACTACTGATTCGTCTTACTCGGAATGGAACGAAAAATCAAGGATTCAGAGACTCGATAGGCTATACTGGTACGTTGTCCCCGACTTAGCTAACTCGATCCAGAAGTCTTGGTAAGATGTAGAAAGTGTATTCTACAGACAACCAGAAGATACCAGGACCCTCAAGCACACAAATCAAGCGTATTTATACAAAATATATATGGTCGACATTGCCATGGAAGTTTTTAAACATTTAATCGATAAGTTCGTCAGTCGACTATATGCGTGGGTGGTAAGAAATGCCCATGCATACATCTGTATACAAGCTCCATAAAGATAAAATTACAAAATATGAGTTTTGGGGATCTAACGTCCCCAACACTGTCTAAAAGAAAAATTATCATTCACACCAATCAAAGATACCTATCTTACTAAGATTAAACAATTTTCCTCTACGTCCTACTTTTCAATGTTTATCTATCTAAAATTCTGTTCATGTTACGAACACTCTTCGAAACTATGTAATTATAACGATTCTTTCATGCATATGATCACCGGAAATCACCAAACTGCATTACAAGGCAAGCACTAACTTGGAATCCTGAAGGGGACTGGAAAAGAGGAAGGCCAAAGAACACATTACGTCGGGAAATAGAAACAGATATGGAAAGGATGAATAACAACTGGAAATGGCTGGAAGGGATTGCCCAAGACAGGGTTGAATTGAGAGTACTAGTGGGTGGCCTATGCTCCGCCACAAAGAGTAACAGGCATAAGTAATTAAGTTTCATACACATTATTTCCAATGCAACAGATAAATCTCCTTTGTAAATTTCAATCTCTCTCTGTCTCTCTCACACACACACACTTACGTTATTATGAATATACTTACTTATAATGTAAAAACTTTTCATCAATATTCATAGAAATTACATATGGACCTTCATTGTACAGTGCCCATTTCAAAATTGTTTCATAACCATGTCGATGAAATTTATAACCAATCGATTGAACAATCACATCTGAACTATTTGCTAGACAATCTTGATCCTTGAAAAAAAACGTTTACAAAAAAAAACACGATGCAAAACAAACAAACGAACAGATCAGTTACAATGAAAATCGCAATCATATTTACAGAGTTACCAATTAATTGATTAGATATTCTTCTTACTGGATTATTCAAGAGATGAAATATCAATGAATGAAGATTACATTAAATTCACTTGGTGTTGTTCCCTTGTATCTTTCCATTGTTGTATAGAACTGCAATTAATCAGTCTCTTGTTGGCATATGTGCATCCTGAGCGAATAGTCTCGGTATTGTCTTAATTCGCAAGCATTATAAACAAAGATAGATAGTGGTTAGCAATGGAATCCAGTTTGACATACGTTTCGTCTTATTTGGGACTCACCAGTCAGATGTACCTGCATCTGAGAGTTGATGTTCATTATGGGACTAAAACACAGAACCTCTCGTTTGTACCAGCAAGTGGCCATCAGGACTCACTATCTAGGTGGATAACTTGATGGCGTTTAAAGTGAGCAGTACTGGAGTAAATATCAACTATGTGATGCAGATACATCCAACCGATGAGTCCCAAATAAGACGAAACGCACATCAAACAGGATTCCACTACTAACCACTATCCATCTTTGTTTATCCATTGGTAAGTATTCACAAATTCAGACATCTGAAATTCTGTTGAATATACTTTTTGTTGTTGATCAAAGTAAACGGCACTTCTAATCCTTTCTAAATAAATTAAAAAAAAGGAACAAAACTGATTTGGCAGTTAATCAATATTGTGATGATTAACAATCATCTACTATTTAAAACTATAAGCTTATCAATTTCTTTGTTAATTTTAAACCAGATTGAAAATAAACTACTTTTTTAAAACAAAGAAATTCACATTCAACAGACTCTTTCAATGTGGTTTCATCTAGTTTTACATCTATTTTATTTGGTCCTCCATATCACATAATCAATTCTCATATATTTTAATGAGTATAATAGCAGACAATGATTGAAGTGAAACTCTAGTTATTTGCATTTTCACCAGCTGATCTATGAAAACCACTGAAAGACTGAAAGCACTGGATAGCCGTTTCGTTCTAGTGGGAGACTCTTCAGCAGTGTGCATTCATGATCCCACGTAAGAAATTCGAACCCAAGACATTCGGTCTCACGTGTAAACGATTAAGCTCTAGATTAGTGAGCCAGTATCCGATGGTGTTAATCAGTTATTACTGAATGAATAAAATATACGAATTACTAACCATTTATTATTGAACAATAGTGAATTAATTTAAACCGTTACACTGAAATGACTGGTTTTTAACCAATATACCCTTTGTTTATATGTACAATACTAAATTAAAGATCAACATCTTTCATTCATCAGAGAGTCCTTCTTCCTTTCTATCTCTCTCCCAATCAGATGGAATAGTTAGATTATCCACCTATTGAATATTCAAATTACATGAATAATTGAAATTATTATATAATAGAATTATAGGGTCGTTTACGAGAAATAATGAACAGTCTCTTCATATTAATCATTCATAACAGATTGATTATCATTTTCAATATAAACAAACTATCCAAGCTAATTATGTTCACAGAGAAAACTGACAGTTATTGATTGAGATTTTGACCCGATTAATGTTAGACTACCATTGAAAACGTGGAAGAACTAGACGGCTGTTTCGTCCTATTTTAGGACTCTTCAGGAGTGCGTCTCAAAATAGGACGAAACGGTCGTCCAATGCATCTAGGTTTCTAATAGTGGTCTAACATCAATCGATTCAACATTTGAATCAATAACTTAATAATCTCCACAACCCTATACTGATAAAAACTAACAGTGTTGCTGACTTTGAACGTTTTACTGGAGTCTTAAGGTGCCTATAGATTTAAAGCACTAAACTAAAAGGAAGAAAATTTGTCTAATGTTACCTGATTCATGATTAGAATTGAAAGTCACATTCATAAGCATACTCCATATCAATTAAAAATCATGCATAATGTAAAGTATTAGTGAATGATATCAATTATTTCCAACTTACCCCACCCGTAAAAGGATAATTCTCTTCTGTTTCTAATCCAAAATTTTGTAAATAAATAAACAATGTAAATGTGTAACCACCATGACATCCCATGTTACCATATATACGTGTACAATCAATAAACTGTTGTACAGAAAAGTTTTTTCGATTGGATGTACGTAAAGCATATTGAGATTCAGTTACAGCTGTTACAGCAAATGCATACGAACCAATACATGAACCCTGAAAGATGAAAACAATTTAGGTAATAAAAAGAAGAAAACAGTATACATGCATAGATAGATAGATAGATAGATAGATAGATAGATAGATAGATAGATAGATAGATAGATAGATAGATAGATAGATAGATAGATAGATAGATAGATAGATAGATAGATAGATAGATAGATAGATAGATAGATAGATAGATAGATAGATAGATAGATAGATAGATAGATAGATAGATAGATAGATAGATAGATAGATAGATAGATAGATAGATAGATAGATAGATAGATAGATAGATAGATAGATAGATAGATAGATAGATAGATAGATAGATAGATAGATAGATAGATAGATAGATAGATAGATAGATAGATAGATAGATAGATAGGTAGATAGATAGATAGATAGATAGATAGATAGATAGATAGATAGATAGATAGATAGATAGATAGATAGATAGATAGATAGATAGATAGATAGATAGATAGATAGATAGATAGATAGATAGATAGATAGATAGATAGATAGATAGAATTCTTTATAATCTATTGTCAAGCTTGTGTTCGAATCCCATAGATTACATCAGTTCCATTACAACTTGATGTATAGCATGCTTATAAGTCCTGGTAGCATAGTAACGTAAGTTTAGATTTTTCCGGTAACTATCTTTAATTTTCGTACTCACTAATTCTAATCGCAATGAAAAATGTCAACATCTAAAACTGATCATTTGATCATTCTATGATGTTTGTCTATAATGATAGTTACTTTGTAAATTGATGCTGTTATTGTCTAGAACTTATATTTTTCTTGCGAAACCGAATACTACTTGAGCACTCGAACGTTTAAACCCTTCAAGTCGGAAGTCAGAAGACAAAAGACTGGTGCGAAGAAATCGTATTCCAAACAGTGTCGAATATGGTTGAAAACACCCAGGTATTTACAGTTTTTAGTAAAAAAAAACGAAATCATCATTACAGTCATTCAATCTGCTTGGAGTGGTTTTTTATCATTTGTCCAATCGGAAAGCTACACACCGATATTCTGGAATGTTCTTCCAAGAGATAATTGGATGAAATGTCTTCGGCTCTCTCAGAGCATCTTAGAGCTAGCCTTATTTCACCGGAGGCCGTCCTTACAGATATATATTTAATTCTAATTTCATTATGTTTGCAAGTGTGTACATTGTCTTACGTCAGACTTAATTCCTAATCCATTTATGACCACCAGAGTACGTACTAAACAGATTTGCGAACTACTAATTCGTATATTATATATTTAATAATATTTACTCCACTTATTCTGAAGTGAATTAGAAATATGACTACAGATGAATTCATTCTATATCTACAAATATACATTTTGTAATACCATTGAGTCAAACAATCTATTATCACTATAGCGTTGTGGAGATTAATGCGTTTTTAATTGAGATTAACAATCGATTGATGTTAGACTACCATTGTAAACCTGGAAGCATTAGACGGCCATTTCGTCCTACTATGGGACGACTCAGCAATGCGCATCCACGATCCCGCCTCGCCGGATTCAAACCCAGGGCCTTCAGTCTCGCGCTCAAAACGCTTAAACTCTGGACCACTAAATCAGCGTCCAACGGTGTTAATGTCTAACCTCAACCAATCCACGAAATTTCGCGACCATCTTGTACTGAAGTATATACCTGTCTCTACTTGGCATGGATTAACTCCACTGATCACAGCTTCCCACTAGAACTCTGAGGATTCCCTCATGAAGATAGTCATTAGCGAGCACATGGAAAATGTCCAGTCAGATAATGTAAAACATTTCAATTTATCAGTAATTAAGTCATGGCCCAAATACTTTAGTGAATAAGTTACTAAATATGGTTGTAGTTGGTTAAGTCTTTGATCTGACTAAAAATATCATTTCCCCTAATATTACAAACCACATTAAACTGAGATTGATGGTTTCCAGTAGGTTGCATCTAACCACTTAGCAACACCTAGGTGAATTTCAATGAAATATCAAATGGGATAACGTCAGATACATGTACCTAGAAATTTACAATATCACAGAAATTATGACTTTTCAGTATTTAATTTACATAAAGAAGATATATAAATATAATCATTATTGTTGGATGTCAGTCATGGCTCGGATAGCCCAGTGATAACATCTCTGACTGTGCAGCTGATGACACAGGACTGAATACGTCAGGGAGCACCAGTTCCCTCAAGATAACAGGTACACCTTGCTGACTAGTGCCAAATAGCACGAAAATCGGGTCCAAGGTTTCCTGTTGACGATCTCCAACCACCATCGTATCTCACTATTGTTACTTAATAAGTAATTAACTAACATCTTACTTCATCTCTTGGTTCATTCACAACATTCAAATGACGCCAATCATATGAATCCGGTGTCCAACCAACATTATTCACATCATAATCTTCTTCAATAAAAGATGATTCAGGAATGATTAAACTCTTGTCAACTTTATACATTGAACAAAATTCATTCCATTCAATATCGGTAAATCGACTTAAACCAATAGAATATGTTTCAAAGCCTAAATCATAACGTAAATTATGCAATTGAATTTTGATTAGATTCTTATTCCAAATTCTTTGTCGAATCAATTCTTCATTTGGATCATTATATTGTTTAGCATATAGAGATTTCCATTTCTTCCATAATTCATTGAATTTCAATGTTCTATTTGAATGGACATTATATGATAATATATGTAACATAATCAGTAGTATTATGATGAACTTCATTGTAAATGTCTTCAGAAGAACTTCGTGATGACGTTATAGTTCATCTACATAAATGTACATTTATACATGCAAATATAGTCTGAAATGATTGTGTACTTTGAGATATGTAGGCTGAAACACTTGTGAATGGTGATTAGGAAAATGATGTTTTAATAGAAATGAAGGATATTGTGTGTATGTGTGTGTGTGTGCTTGCGTTCGACAAATTGTTGGACTTTATTCAATGAGCAGTACTTTTCATTGATTAAATAATTGGTTTTAGACTATTTAGAATTATTAAAGATTTTGTTTGAATATATATATATATATATGTATTACGAAAGGCTTCAATCGATCACAGTGAAGTACTCAGGGAAGCACCTGACCACACTGATGGACGACCTAAGCACTAAAGTCAGAATGGACAACATTGGGTATCAAGATATCATGGGACGATATGGACTGATTGGAAGTAACCAACGAGAATAATGACAGATTTGTGAATTTATGAGCATTCAACGATATGGTTATAGGTGACACAATATTCCCACACAAACCCATTCAAAAAGCTACATGGGTCAATTTCACCGGATTACACTACAGAGAACCAGATCGATCATATTTGCATCACTAAAAAGTCAGAAGGTCAATGGAAGATGTGAGAACAAAGAAAGGAGCTGACATAGCTTTAGATCACCATCTACCTTTTGGTTTTGTAGATGAAACTGAAGCTAAAGAAGTACTGGACAACTGGAGAAACAGAATTACAAAGGTTCGATACAGACCTCCTTCAACATACTGACAAACTCGATCAACAACAGGTTCAAAGCCTTACAGAATATGCTGAAAGAAGATAAGGAAACTATTATAAAATAAAACGTGTCAGGAGGCGACGGGAGGCGGCAACGAACACTGTCATAAGGAATACATCTCTATCGAAACCCTGGACAAGATTCAAGAAAGGAATGATAAGAAGACAGTCGAACAAGAACAGAGAACATTAAAGCATTAGCTGAATACACAGAATCAAACAAGTAAGTGAATAGGAGTACTCGAGCTGACAAAGAGAAATACGTAGAAGACCTAGAAACAACATAGATCAGATTCCGTAAAGATCGTTCGTGAAAAGGTCAAATCACGATACTATGGATCATCGTTGAACAATCAATTAAATGCAACTCACCACTATGTATCAACTTCATTGACTATGAGAAGGCGTATGACAGTGTGGATAGGAGAAACTTGTGGAACAATCTTCGACACTATGGAGTGAGTAACTAAGAAGATCGTCAACATCATTTGGAATTCAGACGGCGGAATATACTGCAAAGTTATGCATGTACAACAACTGAACAAACGCATTCCAAGTAAGGACCGGAGTCATACAATGCTGTTAACTAACTCCTGCTTCTAACTCATGTATTAAAGCATCAGAACGACCAGTTAAGTACTTTTCTTTAATTTGAGTTTGAAAATTCTTGAGATTATATACATAAAATTTCAACATTAAACCAGAGAAATATGATAGTTATTATTAAAGAATAACTCAGTTCTATCCCAACTTTGTACTGAAGATGTTGTCTAGAAAGACGATGAAATCTTCACGAATAAACTATTCAGGTTAGAGAATGAAATTCCATCAAAAAAATACCTCAAAAGCTGTATATACACCTAGGTTTTTTATGTAGCAGCTTTCGTTTATCGAAATGAAGTATAAATATTTTCACTTTAATCACAATTGATCGCCATCCAGTGATCAATCAATTGTGATTACATCTCAGTCCTACAGGAGGTTGGTCGCGGCATGGATAGCTCAGTGGTAAGGTCTCTGACTGAGAAGCTGGGTGGCACGGGATCAAGTCCACCATGGAGCACTAGTTCCCTCAAGATTACAGGTACACCTTGCTGACGAGTTCCAAGTAGCACGAAACCCGGGTCCAGGGTTTCCTGTCGACTACCTCCAACCACCATTTAATATTTTCACTTTATTTTATCTTCCCAACAGTTTGAGAGCCTTAGTTCAAAATAATTCAAGGCGTAGGTTTAGTACAATTTCAATAGAATAATATATATTTCTTGTTCAGTCGCTGAGCCAGCGCTCGCTTTCAACTAGGATACGGGAACATGTCCTAGTTTGGTTCTACAAGGGTGACAGGAAAGCAGTTAAAAGTTCTATACTTGAATACCGAATCAACTGTAATCATTCTACGGATCCACAGTTTGATTTTAAGGTTGTATATATGATTAATTCAAATCTACTTAGATTTCTTCGTATCCAACTCCTTAAAATAACCGAAACTCTTACCATCCATGAGCTCAAACTAGAACTATGAGTACAAAAGGAGTATGTCTTATCGTTATTGTTACTTTGGCCTTAATTAATATTATTATTATTACTACACTTCCCCCTTTACTGATGTGTCACATTCTCATTGTCCTATTCATAAGTGCCCATGATATCACTTTACTTATTCATTACACCTCTATTGCAACAGAAGCACTTTAATCATCTTATAATTCCTTAATAACTTATTAGGTCTATTGTTATTATTCGTATTGCGTAATCTAGTATTGTAACCTTACTATTATGTCACCTTGATTATTCTTTGTTCACATTTCCTTATGGAGGTAGTACTTTAACAATTGTACAGCTTGATAATAAATTTGTTGAAAAAAGAGAGATCCCTTACGTCCTTAATCTGTCTATCCACTTTTGGTGCTGAGGATAACTTGCAGCAAGAGCAGCATATTTACAACTGAAGAACATCTGGAACTCAAAGCAACTGTCAACCAACACCAAGGTCAGGATTTTCAATACAAATGTCAAGACAGTTCTACTGTATGCGGCAGAAACCTGGAGAACTACGAAAGCCATCATCCAGAAAATACAAGTGTTTATTAATTTTTGTTCATTTTTAAAACTTAATCTATGTTATAACTTTTACCATGTTAATTATCATCAATCCAAATATCTTATTCTTGTGCTAAACAAATGACACGTCAAAACAGCACTAGAAGCCTTGTGTCAACTCTGAATCCTTATTGGTCCTTCTTGCCTAGCTCTGCCCAATTGAGTCCAGAAAGCAATCTCAGCCTCTAATGTATAAAACATATATTTCAGATATAAGTACTTTACATACAAGCAAACCAGACCGCATCATACTATAAAATATAAAAAAATAACCATTATACAAGATCAGTCCAAAAGTGACTGTGAGTGTAAGAGAATGTAATTAATTGATTAGAAATAACTTGAGAATAGTAAACCATGTAATAATAGTCAGTAGGTCAATTGAATGCTTATGGTGAACGAAATATAAATGTACATAATCTAGTTACTTAACAGTCATATCCTGGTGCAGTGAAGAAGAACACAGATGAGGACAACCGGACCTTACTCAGCACATCACAGAGTTACTTGGTAAAATAGAAAAACCATACTATAATACCTAATTTGCAAAATGTTCAGTAATTGTCTCAGACTTCAGTTCTATACTAATTGCTTTCTATTCCCGTTCTTGCTTTCTTGATCTTCCCAATCTTTTGCTGCCAGACATTACATACCTGACTCGCGTCAGATACTACTTATATCAATATAAGTAGCACATACCACACTGCAACATATCCATAATCTTATATTATTCGATTACAACAGTCTATTTAGCTAAGAAAATCATTATCAGATACTTACGAATACTATTTAATTTGATTCTCAGGGTACGATACACATTCCAAAGCTTTAACTAAGAAAAGACTAATCTTCTCATATTTTAATTCCGCATAAATAACTAAAGTAGTCGATTTCTTTCATTATTTAATCAACTTATTGGAATTGAGAATAATGTATGGAAGTTTTTCCCACCTCTTATGGTCTACCATCCGATTCAGTCATTGTATTTATTCATTAACTTTTGACTAACACATTAGGATAAGATCATATAGGAAGTTTGATTTCTAATATTTAATTATTTTAACACATAGATATTGGTACAGGGAGGCACCAAATACATATGCGCCACACAAATCTCATTTGATATGTGTGAGGGCTGTGATACTCTCCGGGTGCCCAAACCGAAGTAGGTGGTTTTCTAAAGGGGCCACACCCGGAGTCTTCGACCTGAAGGTCTGATCCACAAGGCAGTGGAGCATCGTAAGGAGATGCAATCCCATAGTAGCCGGTGACCAACGATTGGTTTATACTCCATTTGTTCCTTTAGGATACTGGAGCCCATGTGAAGCATTGGTTTGGAATCAGGGTTTTCCAACTCCCCTAGATGGACTCTCCATGTCCACCAACCCGGTTAAAGCGCCGAACATTCGCTTTTCATCCCCTCAATTTCGTAAACAACAGTAGTGTCACGAGAAGGTAGTGAATAGGACTTCCCTGGCAGAGGCTATATACTCGTGGTCATGCGAGAGCATTTGGAGAGGGAGAGAGGACTCTCCCCACTCTCGGCCGTACCAAAGCATTTGTGGGCTAACGCATTAGGATAAGACCATATAGAAAGTCTGATTTCATATAGCTGAATAGTCTTTAATGTCTTAATTCATGTTTTCAGGTGTCTAGATTAATTTAAATAATCACTTGTAGACCTTGCAGTGCATTCTTACATAAACGATTAAGTAACATCAGTTCCTTATACGAATTATGAAATTCAATCATCTACACAAACCCCCTGCAAGTTATCAGCCTTTGATCAATTGACCAAGTCCTACAATCATACCTGATCAATAATATCACGTATTCGCCCTAACCAATAATATAATAAGTCCATTTTTGAACAATTTTCATGCTAATTCATGAATCAATTGAGGTTAGACCACCACGGAAAACCTGGAAGCACTGAATGGCTGTTTCATCCTATTGTGAGACTGCTCAGCAGTGTGCACCCACTATCCCATTTCGTCAGATTCGAGCCCAGGACCTATCATTCTCGCGCGTGAGTGCTTAACCTCTAAACCACTGAGCCGGCCGGCATCCAACGGTGTTAATGTCTAACTTCAATCAATCTATAATTCCC